CTCCCTAGAGCCACCAAGGAGCCAAGGATGACGATTAGAGAATACGACTTAAATCTTTGCTTAGAGAAACCTTTATGAAATCTCACAAACTCCCCCTTATAAGATTTTCTCTCTCTCTCTCTCTCTCTCTCTCTCTCTCTCTCTCTCTCTCTCTCTCTCTCCCCCAAGCTCTCCTTCTCTAAGCTCTTTCAAGTTAGGACAACAATAAAAGATTTAATCATCAGGAATTGAGAGTGCTTAAATAGAATGCCTTTAAAAATGCTATAATTTTTAACTTGTCATCAAAGATCGTCCAGGATGATCTGTCGATCGTCTTGTATGATTAGTTTAAATCAGCCCTTCCAGTCAGGATGATCTGGGATTCCTAGGCGATTAGAACACAAAGTTATTCTGATCATCCAGGATAATGTGGACATCGTCCTATACGATTAGTTCAAAATCAAACATTATCATCCAGCAGACAGTTCGGGAAATCTAGGAGATAAATCAGGATGATGTAGAAATATAATGATCATCCAGGGCGATGTTGAGATAATCTTATATGATTAGTTCAAAATTAGACTTTAGATAGTACGGGACATCCATGAGATTTAGGAGAAAACTAAAGTTTTTCCTACAGATCGTCCAGTACGATCCTGCGATCATCCCAGACGATGTAATAGATCAATCTAACCTTAATTACTCTCCTAATCACCTGATCAACTTAGGCATGATTGGTACGAATTGTTCATGATGATCAAAATCATCTTATACGATTAGTACAAATTTAAGAGTTTAAAATCTTGCCTAAATGAGTTTGGTGGCTGGTTTTTTTGATTTAAGCATATCGCACAGGACGATGGGAGTATCATCTAGGATGATTTGCTTAATCATGTTTACATGACCTAGATGCCCTAATTAGGGTTTTTGTTTTTAATTGATTATTCATGACAAATTTAAATCATAATGTAGGATATGATCAAAAACAAAAAAATTCTAACTCGCCAAATTGCTCCCCCTGAGTGTGTGTGTACAAGGTTACTTAGCTTTAAGATCCATCATAATATATTTGACTCAAGAAAAAGTAAGAAATGCATTCAAATAGAAATTACAGACTGACTCTCCTAGTCTACTTGATCTTATGCTGATTGACTTTCCAAGTGAACTTGTGAATATAAAAGGTTAGTGAGCTGGACAAATAAAATAGATATGTCAAAATAGGAGTAGTCAATAAATAATAGTGCTTATTATCATCAAAATCACACTACTTAGGTCCAAATTTGTAACATCTTAGATCATACTATACGAATAATTTTAAAAAAAAATTATTCGTATGGTATGCTTTTGTATGAACCTAATTTCGTATACTATTAGTCGTCTATACGATCTAACATCATACTGTATGAACAGTTCAAAAAATGAATATATTCATATGGTACGATCCAGTATAAAAGAAATTTCATAGTCTATTAGTCGTTTGTATGACTTGATATTGTATAATAGAAACAATTCAAAATGAACAAGTTTATTTGGTACAATCCGATACAAAAGGAATTTCATACTCTGTTAGTCGTCTGCACTAATTAACATCATACAGTACGAACAATTCAAAATTTTTTGGCATTGATTTGATTAACTGCATTTTGGAAGAAAAAATTGTCAAATCATAAAGTATGATTAAATATTGTACAATATGGTCAAACTTAAAAAAAAAAATTTACAACTCTCCCCTTGTGTGTGTGTGTGCATAATTACTTAATTATAATCACTCTTGCTCATACCCAAGAAATAAAAAATAGAGACATACAGACTCCGTTACATGAAATCCTATTATATCCTTTCTTGAAGTCTTCAACAAAATGGAGTAGTAAATAATTTCCCTGAAATATTAGTACACAAAAAAACAAACAAAAATTTTCAATATATGCTAGGAGAAAAAATAAAATGATCAGAATAATAATATTTTGCTATCATTAAAAATCATAATCTCAAACTTGATTCCTGAGTTACAACAAATTCTTCCAATTCCCAACATGCAATGTACTCTATATGATGTATACTTGCTACATCAAGCCAAAACTTTCCCTCTAATGAAGGACCTCATTTGTAATCGACTTCAAACACTGGTGGATTCATTCAAAAACTAAGCCAGGTCGAGTGGTCTCCCCCCCTCTTTTTAGGAGTTTCCACATAAAAAACTCTGGTGTCTATTATGAATGCTACACCATCTCTTTTATTTGATTGTGTGTTGAATCTTTATACAAAACTAAGAGGTTAAATTATATATACGTGGAACATCTCTCTACATGCAACCATTGCTTAGTCTATTTCCATTTTCTTAAATCCATACATTCATAAAAAATTTTCCTTTTGGCAGTAGCCAATTGTTTACTTTTCCCTTTCACAATAAGGGCACTTAAAAAGATAGGATCTAAAATTTTTAATTTCAAACTAAGCCAAAGTCATTCCAATTCAACACATTTTAAACACAAATTATTACAAATATATTTCTATCATGCTAAATTTTTTATCAAATTTATTCTAGCTTAACTAGTTTTCTTTTTACATCTCTATGTCACTAACAATTGTTATGGCCAAAAGGATGAGCATGCAGCTTCTCTCTTAGTCTTTGTTTGAGACAACTTTTTTACAGCTTTTTAAAGCAGTAAAAAAGATGTTTCGAACGAAGATTTAGAATCAAAATGTAATTCTAAATGTTTATGAAGTCTTAAATAATGGAAGGTTGATTAATTTTTTTGGGATAGTTTATATGATATGAATACTTAATTTTTTTTTATTTATATTATAACAAAAATTTAAATCTCATTTAAATTATAATTTGTATTAATTTTTATAAAGTAACATTAAGGACGTGAATAAATGGCTTGATCTGAATTTGGCTTTATGTAATAAATATATTAATCATATAACGCGTATTATATGGTAAGACTTGAGTGAATCAATATTAATATGTTTGCTTGGTCGATAGAACCATATTTGACATGTGACGGAGGATAAAAAGACCATTTAGCGATGGAGGTCGGAAGGACTGTAGTCGGAGGGCGATGAAGGTCAAAAAAACCGTTGTTTAAAGACGATGGTCAGAAGGACCGTAGTCGGTGGGCGACGATGGTTAGAAAAACTATTGTTTGTTGAAGGTGATCATAAAGGACCGTACTCGATTGGAGTGGTCAGAAAGACTGTTGTACGATGATGGATGTCAGAAGGACCATAGTCTGGTGACAGAGGTCGGAATGATCGTTGACAGGCGGAAGTTTGACATAAGGCAGAAATCCGGCAAATTGCGAAATTCCGGCAACGCGTGAAATTTTGACATCGGCTAGAAATTTGACATAAGTCCGACGACTGGCATAGATTTGGCGATGGGCAGAAGTTCTGTGTCGGGTAGAAGTCCGACGATGAGCAAAAGTCCAACGTCAGGTAGAAGTTCATTGAATGTCCGATGACTGGCAAAAGTCTAATGATTTGCAGAAGTTCGGCCTCAGGTATAAGTCTGACGAAAGTCCTGTGACGGGCAGAAGTTCGGTGATGGGCGAAAGTTTAAAGTCGGGTAAAAATCAGACGACGGGCGGAAGTTCGGTGTCTGGTAGAAGTCCGTTGAAAGTCCGATGACGGGTAGAGGTTCGACGACGAGCAGAAGTCTAAAGTCATGTAGAAATTTGACGACGGGTAAAAGTTTGGCGTCAAGTAAAAGTTTGGCAAAAGTCTGACAAAGGGTAGAAGTCTAGCGATGGGTGAAAGTCCGACGTTGAACAGAGGTCAACCATTGAGCAGAAGTTCGACGACGGGTGAAAGTCTTACGTCTAGTATAAATCTGGCAACAGGAGGAAGTCCGACGACGGGTGGAAGTTTGGCGTCAGGTAGCAATCAGGAGACGGGCGGAAGTCCGATGTCGGGTAGAAGTCCACTAAAAGTTCAGTGAAAGGTTGATGTCCAACAACAGGCTGAACTTCGGTGTCGGGTTGATGTCCGATGAAAGTCGGCGGACGGGCAGAACTTTGGCGTTAGTCGGCGGTCGGGCAGAACTTCGACGTCGGTTGGCGGTTAGATAGAACTACGACGTTAGTATGTCGCCGGATGAAAATTCGGCGGTGGTCGAGAAAGAGTTTGGTGGCAAGAGAGCTCTCTTCATTTTCTCATTCTATTCTTGCTTCCTTGCTTACTTTTCCTCTCTTCTTGCTTGGGGTTCCTTCCTCCCCCTCAATGAAGAATGAGGGGCCTATTTATAGTTTTATGAGAGTGGCATGACAAGTAAATAGAAGGAAGATTAAGGGTAAATTGGAAGTGACTTGAATGGATGGTCGATATTGAATATCTCGATCATGGACCATTTATTGGATTTTTAAATGTATTAATGATGTCAAAATTTGATAATCTTTGGCTCATTGGATTCGTCTCATCGAGCCGCTGGATTCGACTATAAGCATGTCACGTTTGGAAACTGTTTGGTAATCCAAATTATGGTTTGAACCTTCCAAATATGCTTCGAGTCTTCAATTTGGACCCATTTGGGTTCAGATTGAGTCGAATTTGGTGTCATTGGGTTCGTATTTCTGAGATGCTCAGTTCGGCTAAATTTGTTAAAATCGGAGTATGGATAATCCCAAATTTAATTTTTGAAATTTCCAACTTGATTTTACTTCGAGATTCGTGCCCGATCATTATAGTTTTTTTGATGATATATCAAACATATTGAGTTTTTTTTACCCTAATCGAGTTGGCGCAAAGTAGGGTCAAATCCGTACCCTCCTCTTCAACTCTAAATTAAATACATCTTTTCATGAAGTTCTTTTGATATAATTAAATTATTAAAATATTACATATAAATATTAAAATCTAAAAATAATATGTATATACACAAAAAAAAGAACAAATTCACCCACGTAGAATGGAGGGGACGATCCCACTAAAAGCGGGAGGCAGTGCGATTTTCAGTTTAAATAAATTCCATCGGGCCCACACCCAATCACCCATTTATATATAAATAATTATTTAAGAGGGAAGGAGCCGTAGGGGTAAAACTGAGAAGAAAACCCTTTCGTCCAAGTCGCTTCGGTTACCGGTCCCTCGTGAGTCCAAGGAGCAGGAGAAGTCCTCTTCGTCTACTATGCTTTGACGCGCGCCGGGAACTCTGATCTGTATTTCTCTCATCGAGCTCCAGCATGGCACCGGGCTCGGACATGGAGGCGGTCAAGGTATGAGCTTCTGTGTGTTGTTGTTGTCGCTTTTTTGGTGGCTTGGTTAGTCGGCTCTTTGCTGAGGTTTGGAGATGTGTTTTCAGAGGGCGAAGGTGCTGATGGTGGGGGCGGGCGGGATCGGCTGCGAGCTGCTCAAGACGCTTGCTTTGTCGGGCTTCGAAGATATACACATCGTAAGATTGGTTGGCTGATTCCTTTTTTTTTCTTGTTAGGGTTTTACTGTGCTTTTGTCTGCTTGTCGGTGGGAGTGGCGTTTGGGACTTATAATGCGTTAGGGTTCTACGTGCCTGTTTGCTTCAGTTCCATTTGCATGCTGTGGATTTGTTTTTTGCGTCGAAGTTTTGGAAATCGAAGATTTATGTCTTTAATTAATGCTTGAAATGGAGTTTGTGATATTAGCCGTTGCTAGCAAGAAGAGAAAAAACGAGCTGTTGCATAGTGCAGTTTGTCAGTAGAGTAACAGTTGGTTTGACGTGGGCTTGCATTGCTCTCTACTTTTTAGGGCTTGTCGCGAACAGAGAAATTATTAGGTACGGAGTGCGGACGGAAGAACCGTCTGCACACTAGTATAAAACAGTGTTCGGTACCACTCGGTACCGCTGGGTACCGCTCGGTACTCTGTGTCTGTGCAGACGGTTCTCACCCCGTCTGCACTCCGCACCTAATAATTTTTCTGTCGCGATAGATGGGATTTCAGTCACTTCACTGAAAAATTCTGAAGTTCATCCACTTATCCATTTTAATTTTTTGTGTTCTGTTATGTAATCATATCCTTTACTTTGTGATTAAAGTTAGAGGAATCCTCTGTCTTTATGAAGTCGTGAAATAATGTATTTTCTATGCTCTTTCTGCCGGATGATTGTATATTTTTATGTTAGATCACTAGCAGAAGACAGTGGGATGCAAAGGAAGATTTGTTTGATGTATAATAATAGCTTAAATTTGTCTAGAGTTTTCTCCTGAATGTGTTTGCATCTTATTACAAAATGCTGGGATATCATAAAAAAATGTTGTCATTGTGTCTTATAGCATAAGTTTGCAAAATCATGAGAGTTGTGCGACATAGCTCTTTATTTTCTTTGCTCAAGGTTACTGTGTAACGTTAATTTTATTCACTTTTTCTCGGACAGATCCTGAATTTATGGTTTTTGTTGCATGAAATTCCTGTTCTATATGTATTTCTGTGCTCGGGAGAACATGAGTGTGTTTTATCTCTATTCATTAGATGTGCATTTTCTTAAACATTTAGCAATCCTTTAAACTTCTGATTCTTCCAGATTGACATGGACACAATTGAAGTGAGCAATCTAAATAGGCAATTTTTGTTCCGCCAGTGTCATGTGGGCCAATCAAAGGCTAAGGTATGTTTCTTTACAGTTTGCTAAATTATTATTTCATGATCCTTTCCATGTCAATGATGCAGATCTTATATTTTTATTCATGCTATGCTTATCAGGTTGCTCGAGATGCTGTCCTTAAATTTAGGCCTCACATAAACATAAAACCATACCATGCAAATGTCAAAAATCCTGAGTTCAATATTGAATTTTTCAAGCAATTTAGTGTGGTCGTGAATGGACTTGATAACTTAGATGCCCGAAGACATGTCAATCGTCTATGCTTAGCTGCGGAGGTCCCTTTAATTGAAAGTGGAACAACTGGTTTTTTAGGGCAGGTGAGGTGAATGATATCTTGCTTTTATTTGGTGTCTTAACTTAGTTTTTTTTTTTTGAAGATTCTTTGATCTAAGTAGAAACTTCATCACTTGGCATACAATTTTGAGATTTCTCAAATTTACTTTTCCGTGTAAACAAAAGTTTTCACTTATGTTTGTACCCACCATAAATGAATGGAGAAAAATTCAAAAATAGTTGAGAAAAGATTAATATGGTATGCATATGCATGTACTCCACATGTATATGTGCTTGCCGTATGTTGGTTATTTATACATTAGACTTTTCTCTTCCTCCTCAGAAGATGAACATATAGATTCTTTTATTATATTAGTTTTGTGAAAAAGATTGAATTGATCTCGTAAATTTTTTTTGAAGGATCAAAATAGTCACCGACTATATAAAAGTACTAATTTGATCTATTGACTCTTTCAATAATGGTGCAACCCAGGAATCATAAGCCAAGTAAGCGAACACTAGGTATGCAAAAGAAAAAAAAAACACCAAACACAAATCAGAATTACAATAAAAAAAGACATTCCTTTCAATATGACAAATACAAACACTAAACAGAACACAACAAAGCTTTCAACTTCTAATAGAAATCACTTACAAATTATATTAGAACAAGACACGACACAACTTATGACTAACATTAATTTAAGAGAAGAAAGATACATGTGGGTTGGGAATCATGGAGAGAGAAGAAGAGATAGAAAACCGTTTGATGAGATAGATAGATTTAAGAATAATTTCAGCTTAAAAAGAGTGAATATCCCATCTAGAATAAAACTTAGTGATATTTTCAAATTGACATTCACTCTTGTTAAGATGAAATTATTCTTGAATTCATCTACCTCGTCACGTGGATGCAAATTCATTCTTAAATAATCTTCCGCCAGTAAGGATGTGATACATTTACTATAACCGATGGTTTGGCCCAATGACTCCGTATAATGAACGGTTACGATCAGGGCTCTCTAACGGGGTGATTTTGTTGCATATAACTATATAAGCACCACTATATTTCGATTACGGCCAACGCTTGCATGCTAACCAATGCCTAATCCTTTTTGAGTAATGAATCATATGGTAGACTTGATAGGGCACAACGCTTTCTGTTAGCGTTTTGAAGACCGGATCAGACAGGTCGGTTCGGTCGTGAATTGGTCAAGTTGTTGGTCCGATTAGGCTGGCAAATTGGATTCGCATTGAACTGATGCGAATCGGTTGAGCCGCTGGTTGAATCTAAAAATCGTCAAAATAGTATGATTTAGCTGAACCAGCCTATTCAATAAAATTATTTTTCTTTTTGATAAAAATTTAATATTTAAATTTTATTTTATTAAAAATTTAAATTCTAAATATCTATTTAAATGCTACAAATAAATTTAACCAGAATATATAGCTTCATGCAACTTTGTTTGTTGCTTGTAGTTTTTGTTTTATTCTATATAAAGATAACCATTTAAAATTCTTCTACGATGCAGGACTTAAAAATAGCGAGAATTTTGGATGAGAGTTAAATTGTGAAATTGGCTTGGGCTGCGAATTTGGTTTGAGAATATGTATAATTTATAAAAATTAAAAATATATATTTTGCAACAACAAAAACAACATTTATCCTTTATCTCACTATGTGGGGTCGGCTACATGAATTCTTTTTCTCCATTGTGCTTGTTAAGAGTCAAATTCTCATTTAAATATAATAAAGAAATATCATTTCTAATCTATTATATTAAATATTATATCATATTCTTATTAAACATTATATTTATATTATTAAACTTTTGTATTTTAAAAGTTTTTAATATGCATATAATTATATTTGTACTATGCATATACTTATATTCACATTAATGGTCAATTGAGCTTTGTAACGAGCTTTATATTAAGCCTTAATCGAGCTTGTTCATGAGCTTTAATCAAAGGAGTCATGTATTCATTTAAAAAAAAATAATTATCACGTAATTTATATTATTTCTGAATAATTTTAATATTTATTACATCATCCGGTTCAACCCCAATCTAACCATCAAACAGTAAACCTCTCCTTATTCAGGTTTGTTGTTCAGCACAATTTTCACAACCTTGTATTATGTTATTTAAGATTAAATTGGATTTATCTCTTAAACAGACATTCATCCAAGTTCATGAGATACCGTTGGACGAAGCAACTCATGACTCCTGGCAAGGATCATTGAGACCATGACAACGAAATTGTGAGATCTTGATTGGGTTCATCATTATTCCACCCACCCACATAGTGGGATAAATGCTTGATGATGATGTTGTTGTTGTTGTGGTGGTGGTGGTAAATTTCTATTCTTAAATATTAAAACTACTGTTATTATATGCCAAGTACTAAGTGCCTATTTAATGAGTAGTCTTAATCGAAAGTGCTCTCTCATTACCAGAAGGGTAATTAATCATTGGACGCCGATGAGAAATTTGAACTCAGATCTTAAAGTCTTCACTAAATGAAAATGAAATATCTGGGTAGTATCTTATCTTAATCAATCCGCCTTCCAAAAATTTACCTTTAGAACTTAATCCTCCTTATCTCTAATTAACCTACCTTCCAAAAATTTACCTTAGAACTTAATCCTTTATACTCTCTACGAATCATGCAGAGAGGCTGGGGCATCAAAAAATATCAAATGCCTCATTGGTCTAATTATAATTTATCGTATGGTCCAACTCATGTTGAACAATATAATTAATTTTGCAATTTTAATTTAAAAATTTATGTTAAATTATTTAATTAATCACTATTTTTTTATTTTAAGCAAAGCATAACATAAATATAACCCTCGTGTGTGTGCACTTAGTTGTTTCATAAACTTTATGTCATATATAATAAGACTCAATAAAATGAAATATTTAAGATTTTGCTCATTGAAGATTTTCTTCTTCAGTTAAGGCTGAGTGCACTTATGTGATTGCCATCCAAGTCGTATGTCTAATACCATTTGACTTTCAACACTTGATTTTTCAATACTTGATTTACCTGATATTTTAAGATCAATAACCTCTATAGGCTCATGGGGTTAAACAAAAGAAGTTTGAGTAACTACTTAAAATGCTTCATTCTTAGATAGGGCCTTTAATTGATTAATGATAGGGAAATAACTGAAACTAATCCCCCAACTATTAATATGTAACCAATTTAATCACATTTCTCCTATGTATTACCAAATTGATCCCAAATGGTGCCTCAATGACTAAATTAAAATTAAATATGTATTGTCGAGTGACTAAATTGGAATTGAAGGGATTTCTTGCGTATAACTACATTGGTTTATCTCTATGGATTTTAAGGGACATGTGTTTATGATTATTTTTGTAGCCCATGACTTTTCTCCTTTCCTCTTGCTATTGTAGTGTCTCGACAAATGCACACCATATCTTCCTGTGCAGAAACGTCAATTTTCCATTTTATATTTTATATAAATTTCTGAATAATCAGCTTATAGATTTGATCTCGTTATTTCTGAGATGAGATTAACAAGAAATGTCTTTCTGAGATTAAATTTATAATTCTACAAGTCTACACTTAGATGAACCTTTATTTATTCCTCATAGTTATCTTAATATATTTATTTTCTTCCAACCATATTGCAGGTAACTGTCCATGTCAAAGGTAAAACAGAATGCTACGAGTGTCAGGGAAAACCAACTCCAAAGACGTATCCTGTTTGCACTATAACTAATACTCCTTCAAAGGTTTGATCATTGTGGATAGTAAAATTTTGCATGCATTTTTCATTTAATTATTTTTAGAGAAAATAACCAAAATGATCCTTTAGCTTTTTAAGAAGGGCTAAAATGATCACCAATTATATTAAATGATCATTTTAGGCAATCAAGCTTTTAAAAAAGAATCAAAATAGTCCTATTGTGGGATTATTTTGGTTCCGCTTTAAGGAGTTTAGGGACCAAAATGATCTTTTAATATAATTGGGGATTATTTTAATCTTTCATAATACGTCAAGGGATCATTTTGGTCCTTTTCTCATTTATTATTATTTTTTTTCAGTTAGTGTGATTGAATTCGATTCCCTCTTGCAATATTAAAACAATCCCTAAAAATTAAACTATCTATGTGTCTAATTGATCATATAGGAATACAAGAGTTTGTTGGGATTACAATGCTGTCACTTCACGTTTCCTCTTGCCACATCAAATTCTCTGGGCTTGTTTGGTTCTAGAACATTTTCATGAAGTTTTATCTTTGCCGCATCTTAAAGTGTAGTGCACAAAGTGCAATTGTGGGTTCTTGGGGTGAGTTAATATATGTGACTTTATCCCTGATTAGCAAAAAAAATGTTGGTTCTTGAATTCATACTTTTGACTCTAGGTTCTTCTACAGGGACAACCTAATTTTGCCCACCCCCTCTCTTGGGGCACTCATTTTGATTTAACTTGAGGAACTTTATAGTTTTTACTCGTGGCTGTTTATGGCTATATAATTTTTAGCTTATTTAAGTAATATCTCTCTTTTTTTTACTGTTATTTAGTTATTCAAAAACGTTTGTTGATATTATATTAAGCCGCACAAACTTTCACTATGTTTTTATTTTTGTGCTCACAACTCTCATTGGAAAGAAATTATTGATATATTTTTGGGATGAAAATAAGGAAAGTGGTAATTCCATACATAATATCAAAATCTTGCCTATTTTTAACCCTAATATCATTTATGATAATATCACTTAAATCTCCAAGAGCACGACAAATCCCCTACTCTTATTTTTTTAATTACATTAAGTTCTCAATGTGTTGGTAGTAGCATGTGTAAATAGACTGATTTGGTTGTTCATTTTGAAAACTGAGGTGTTAATTTTGTAAATAATTATGCTTTCGGCTCCCAAAAATATGTCTGATTTAGCATTTTAGCCAATTGGCAGTTATTGTTTTTAATGTTTTAAAACTAAAGTTTGTTTCAGTCTTATCATTTTTATTTATTTTCTTAGTTTTGTAGGTTTCAGTGCTTAGTTTCAAATATTATTTGTTATTTCTTTTTGATGCAAATTAACAAGTATTAAATATTACTTTCACAGTATGTGTGTTTTTAATTTTGAATTAAAAGTAATAACTAAAATTTAAAATTGAGGGGTTCAAGTTCACCATTAAGTTATTAACTCTATAGATAAGAAATCATATGCAATATAGTAATATTATTAATAATACCTTGCAAGAAAAAAAATAATATTAAAAGGGTTTGATAACATGCAAATTATGTTATTTTTTTTATTTCCAATTCTCTTTAATAGTTTAGTACCAACGTTATTGATGTGAAACATGTATGAAAACAAGAATTGCTTTGCGAAATTAATAATAATTTGAACAAAACTTTGCCAATTGTGAACCGTATGTTTCACCAAGTTAGATTTCTGAATTTTCAATTAGAAGTTATGTAATAGCATACGGTTACAAACAAGATTAAAAGGATAGTTGCAAATAACAACAAAATAAATAAGTAAAACTAACAGAAATGAATAACAAAAATCCACGGTTTAACAATTAGAAATGTTCACTTTGAGTTTCCTCACTCTCGTTTCTGAAAGTGGTGTTTAGCGGAGAAAGATTAAAAGTAGCCCTAGTGATGCTACCACGAGACAAGTGATGCTTAAGGTATTGTTTGCCGGAGAAGTAGCCGGAGGAGGGGAATTTGATGGTCGTCTGATGATTTGCCATTGTCCTGTTGGTTGTTGTTCGTCGATCGTCTCGGCAAGATGATAGAGTATGCGATCCACGTAGCTTTCCACAAAATCTTCGAATTCCCAGTGGGGATCAAAGAAGGACGATTGAAGAATGTTGATTTGTCTTTGAGAGTTGTATGCAAATCCGTGATCGGATCGGCCATTCAAGGAGGCGACGTTGGCTTGTCGGACTTGATCCTTGAGAGGATTTGTTTTGGAGGACATAAGGGGAGGGACTTTGGAGAAGATGGGAATTTCGGCTAGGGTTGGGGGGGGGGGTTGCTCTTTAGAATTTGTAAGGGAAGTGGAGATGAATAGCTTTTGGAAAATCTGAATATTAATTTCAGATTTTATAGACAGGGAAGGACTAATTTTGAAATTTAAAATTATCCCTAAATTGGGCTATAGGAGGGGATGGCGGTTTAGGGATATTAAGTGGGGAGAATTTAATTAGAAGTTTTGGTTTAAATGGAGAGACAGGCGGCATGGGCAGGGGGGGGGGCAGCATATCGAGTGAGGAAGAGGGATTTTGGGGAGAAATTAAAAGCTTCCAAAACAAGCTATTTAATTTAGGAAGTGGGACATTCAATCAAATCTAATTTAAATTTAAATTAGACCTAGATTTAGGAACTTTCTTAAATTAGAATTTGTAATTAAGGAAAGTATTTGAAATTCAAACTTGAATTTCAAACAATTTTAAATTCTTTCATTTCTTGCTTGAAGTAATTTTGGGAAGTAATTATGATGATTGGACTCATCATTATGGCGGTGGAGATGGGGTTTGGACCGGCGGCAATGGGGGAAGGGGTAAGGGTGGCGTCGGGTAGGAAAAGGGAGGGGTGGATTGGGTTTGCCGGCAGCTTGGGATGATAGGGATTGGGCCGGCGGGTTATGGGGGGAATGGAAAAGGCTAGGGAGGCCTTTGGCCGGCGGCAAGGAGGGAGGCCTATGGGTGGTGGCAGGTTTGGGAGGAAGGTCAAGAAAAGAAAAGAAAAATAGAGAAAACCAAAAGCTCACCTGAAGGGGCTGTTGGGTGCTTTGTTTGAGCCTCTCCTAGGCTTCACCTCTCCTCTCAAGAGCTCACAAACAAGAACTCAAAATCTGAAAATTTTATTAATTCATCATCTCTCATACAAAGCAAAAGACCTCTATATACAGGCCTCAATAATAAAGAAAAGAAGAAAGACTCAAATGCCCTCGGGACTACAATAAGAACTCACTATCCATGGGGGTAAAATAGGAAAACTTAAATGCAAAATAAACAAAAGGCTTCGAAACGTAGCCGTCGATCTACGATTCCGTTGATGGTACACATGTCGAAATCTCTGGCTGATGTCCTCATCAGTTACCTTATGAATACCCGTCTAACATGACAAGTCAGCGTTTCATTATCTTTTTTTTTAATGGCATTATTATTTTCCTAAATTTAAATGAGTAACAATGGCTTATATGGCTTGCTAGAATTAGCAGGTAGTTGTTCTTATTAACATTGAAGGAACAAGTTTATCTGAGACATTCATCTAGTGGTAAAAACTTTGTTTTTCTTTGCTGTTGACAGCAAAAGCTGGCCAAAACGCTACTGTTTCTGTTGAAACTTCTGACCAAATGGTCAGAATTCTTGTGTTGGCTGTTCTGGTTGAAAACTGAAAACAAGAAGGATTGTAATGTAGGTTCAAGTGGAAACCATTAGGAAGCCCCTTTCTCGGATTGGTTTCTGGCATACTATAAGCCATGCTTGCTTCCCCTCAAAAGCGGACTTTCTTAACAGTTATACATCATTGAATTTATTATGACACTTAACTGTCAGCTGTTTATTTCTTGATGGTACAACAAAGAGAATTAAAAATATCGACTCTCCCCCTGATTCATTGTTTCTGTGAGCCCACAGTATGTTTATTGCATCGTTGATTAAGTTTACTAAGGCCTCGATTGGTACGGCTTTTTTACTGCTTCTTAAAAAAGCTTTCTAGTACAAAAATTAAAATTTTTGTACTAGAAAGCTGTTTTTAGAAGCAGCAAGAAAGCCGTCCCAAACGAAGCCTAAGAAAATATCATTTACATTGTTATTGCTATTTGATCTTGTTTCTTATCTAATGTTGCTTTTACCTCTAAAGGCCTGGAGTGGTGCTACAGGACAGTAATTTTATTTTGCGACCCAAAATATTTGGGATGAGGCTAATGATTTTGATGCTGATGATATGGTCTTTGCTTGTGTACCCTTGTGGCAGGTTTTTGAACTTTTGTTTTGCCTTTTTAAAAGAAAATCAAAGATTTTGTTCCCCTAAGCTGAAATCTTTGTTTGACTCCTAATCAAGGCATGCATTCCGATCTGTATAACAGTACTCATTTAGGAGTTGTTGAGGATAAGAACCTTAACAACACGTTTTTGATAATAGATGAAATAGATGAGAGTGGTATTCTTCCTCTATCTATTTCGGATTTTCTTTTTCTTCATTCTCTGAACTTATTAATGGGCTTCTATTGCATTTTGTTTCCAAATTGTCAAAAGTGGATATATTTGCATGACAACAACATCAAGCCTTTATCCCACTACGTGGGGTCGGCTACATGAATCCTTTTTCTCCATTGTGTTCTATTAAAAGTCAAATTCTCATTTAAAAAAAAAAAAAAAAAAAAAAAAAACAACTCTTCTATGAGGAGTTGGAAGGTGACTTTGGTAATGGAGGTAGAATTGGCTTGTCTGCAACTCTAACCATACCCGCAAGTATGTAAGCATTTTAATCAATGGTCGTGGAGAGGAAGTGATTAACTATTATCGACCAATGGGATTTAATGACTGAAGAATACGTGAGAAATATGGAGGTTCTGAAGCTACACTGCTTGACCTATTATGAATCAGATGTCTTGAAATGGGGTGGCAATAAAGTTTAAAAAAAAGGGGTTGCAATAAAGTCAAGTTGTTTGGTTGAATAGTTCAGTAATAATATTAGGAACTTAGTGATATTCTTTATAATGATTTTAACTTTTGCTGGGCAATCTGTGTATCTCTTTCCATTATAC